TTTTCCTAAAGATTCCAGTCCCTGGATATACAGTTAGAAATTCAGGCAGGCATCCAGGTGTTGCAAAACGCTGAGTGACATTTTCTCCTCTTAATCTGCCACCCTGCTGTGCGCGTGAGCTGCCCGCGAAATCCCAGCCCCCCAGCCTATAGGATACAACATGAGCCTCTGGCTGTTTTACTCGTTCCAGTGAAATCTATTTAAATGCTGTAATTAAGCAATTCATTTTTTATATTTGGGCAAGTGTTCTCAGTATATGTCTCTTTAATTGATTTAATCAATTCTGGAGATACTGATTTTAGACCATCTGCATACTCTAATGATGAGTTCGTTTGTTAACAGAGGGGTTTTCTCTTGTGAACTTAGGTGATCGATACGATTTACCAGTACTTGCCACTAGGTTAAGGTACGGCCATGTCTCACAGAATAGCCCTGTGAAGAGTTAAAAAAGGGAAAATACAGAAACACAAACGCAATGCAATCAATGACTCTTCTGCCTTGTTTCCATAAGGCCCCACTATCCAGTTATTTAAAATTATTTGAAGGATTGACTTTTCACTGTTTTTTAAATCAAGAACTGTATTGAAGAGAGCCAGCTTGGGTATATCTGCCAACAGAATGCCAGGAGAAAAACACATAAGCGGGAGAGGCAAAAGCTATAGAGAGAAGTACTAATAGAATCACATTTTATGCTTGACTGACAGCATTATTATTGATTAAGGAAAAAAGCAGTACCTGAATACACAGCCTCAGAAAATGAGTCCACTGCTATAATATGTCTAGACCATCCACGTGCTCACATTGACAGTCTCACCAAACAGGAAACATACCGCATTGGATCTGTTTTCTGCAAACCTGGGGCCAGGGAGAAGGCATTAGCATAAGCCTGGATGTCACAGTTCAGGGCATGCTTCTTAAAAGCCCAAAAATATTCTCTCAGTTTTAAAAAATTAATGTAGTATACATGTTTGCTGGACTAGAATAATACCAGGACAGAATTACCTTACCAGAGGATTTCTTAAAAGGTAGGTAGATCCATCTATACAAGATGAGGGGAAGTGTAGGTAGCATTTTCTCCCTAAAGAAACATGGCGTTATCTATGCTGTGGAGGACGGGACTCAAGAGACGGCCCCTTTCTTTCCTTCCTGCTTTATTTCCTTCCTTCTTTCTACTTTCTCTTGATAGCTGTACATTCTGTGTGGTTCTTGTAAGTCAGTGTGGTCCCTGACTCACCTCAGCTTCGGTGTGGCCAGAGGAGTCTCTGCATAACAGAAAGACAAGGCTCTTTCTTAATTTTAGGAAGACAGATTGAATGAGTGAGCACCTATGAACATGTCCTCTACCACATCATCCCTCCTGAGGAAAGAAATTTGCTACTTCGCAGGATACCATGGGTAGTACGATGCTAGTAACGAGACAAGAATCCGTTCGTAAACACTCCTCGGAATGAGAGATGAGCCTGGTCTCCAGGCATATAATTCTTCAAGATGCCATATGACAGAAGAGGCTCGCCTCTGGTAGCATCCTCAGGGCTTCCCAACCCAGGGTCAAATGTTGGTGAAAAAGCAAAGCGCCCTCCTCATGGAGTGAGGCTGACCGGGTGGGAGGCTGCTAAGAGAGGAGTCACCTGGAAAGGAGGGAGGCTTCCTAGGCTTCCTTGTGGAACAGGGGTGGGGAGAAGGGAGGGAGGGAGACAGAGACATCTGAGTATTCACATGGGCACTTGTGCCCCCACGGCACCTCAGGGGCCCTGACCTCTCTGCCACCAGCAGCAGCCCCTGAGAAGGTTGAGGGCAGAGGCCTGTGTGAAGGTACAGGGCCTACTGGCCTAGGCATGTCAGGATCTAAACACATCAAAAATCTCCCTCGGGTAGGACTTGCCAGACAGGAGCATTCTGTTCGCCCCAGACCTGCTCCTTACATGGCAAGATCAAGACGGGCTCCTGTGATCCTCGCCAGAATAACGGTCATGAAATCAGCAAGCCTGTCAGCTCTCTGGCGGTGCAGGCATGTGCACCGAAGCCGGAAAGCAGAGCAGGCTGTGGTTTCTCGAGCACCGTCGTGGACGTTGGCTACTCATGACCGCCCTTGATGTAGATGGGGTGGAACTGATTATCTTCATTTTTAAAACGAGGAAACCGAGGCTTAGAAGTGTCCACCGCCTTGCTAATGTCATGATGATACTAAGTGGCAAAGCTGGGGCAGAACCTAGGCTTCTGGATTTCTAGTGGAATATATTGTCTAACATCTTCATTTATTGTATCATCCTTTCTTAGAGTGGAGGTGCCTTAATGGCAAGATAAGTATTGTGTTACGGAAACACAGCACAAAATAAGTAGAATATAGATTTTAGAGAGCATATAGACATTGCAAATTAAAGCAGCATGAGTGTTAACTATCTAGCCTCCATCTTCCAATCAGTTTAAATTACTTTTAATGTATGTTTTTAAACTCAAAATGAGCTGTAATCCCAATATGCAACCCTCTTAATGTGTGATGAATTACACGAGATCATTTCATTTTGATTCCCCTACTTTTGAAGGGTATCTCCCATTTTTACCTGGGATTGGTCTTTTCGTGTCCCGTCATTTCAGAGAAAGGGACGTTCTCCCCATGTATTTTGCAGACTACTTCTTAGACCCTAAAGACATAGATATTTTCCCCACAAATAATTCACTTAACTTTTCTTCAAAGTCTGTGAGCTGAATAACTCTTTGTATCATGCTTGAAACAAAGTCACATTGCAGTGAACATAAAGAACACACACTGTGAGCTCTGTCTCAGGTCTGGCACTCCCTGCAACCACTCAGCTTGGAGATCAAAGGTGCGGAGCACACAGGGGGATGTCGTGAGCACATCTGACCAGAGCAGTTGGCGCTCTGGAATGATCCCGAGTTAATTCCCGAAGGAAAGAGAACCTCTCAGCATAGACATTTGCAATCAATAGCCAAGCAGCCCAGAAAACATTAATTTCAATGGAGTTATTTTCCTATGATGGCTGTATAGAGAGACATAGGTTTCAAAGAAACTGGCCTTGAACACGATTATGTTCCTCCTGATCAGAGAAAAATAACCGGGTCTAACTGACAGTCCTGAAGCACAGAGAAGAGAAGACATTTTCAAAAACCATGTCGCTGAATGAAAGCTAGGTTAAGCAATGTCACTTTGATTTCTCCCTCCCTGTCTTCGGCCAGTGGCCTGCTCATACTATCACTTCCACTTGAACAGTATGCTCGTTACTTTATGGTATCGCTGTAGTCTTCAAGCACAGACTACTTTGAATTTTGAGGGATGGGGCGAAGTGGGCTCGTGTGATTTCCACAATGACATGTCCTCAGACCCTTACCCTACCCCGTTCTAGCTCAACCAGGACTGGGGGACAAAATGTGGTAGAAAAGGAAGACATGGGTGTACACAGGTGGGTAGACTGGGTCTGGCCCCCCCTCCCCGTCAGCATCCGCCTCTTCCCTTCTGCATCCTTTCCGGGGCCACTCAGGGACAGACCTGCATCTCCACACTACATGTGGGACAGGGCTTGGGCCAGCCACACACCTATTGATTATTTGATCATCGTCACCTATTACCTCCTGCTCTCGCTTTCCTGCCGTTCTGCCGCCTGCCAGAATTCAACCTCAGGCACAGATGGTGAGAAGATCATTTTTTGCCACCAAGAGCCAAAGAAAGAGCCCAAACATTTATTTACCGAGCCGCAGAACCCAGGACTTCATAGATGAGACGGACGTGAATTCCCAGCACTAATCTCTAAACTTGAGAAGCGTTTCATTTATTTAAAAACAAAAATTGCTTCAGAGCTTGTCAAGGTGTAGTCAGCCACGGGAGGCTTCGGGGTACTTCTTCACGCAGTGGTCACCCAGAATGCCGAGTCCAGCATTACAAGCAGCTGCCTCTACATCCTGATTGCCAGCAGTGCCACCTCTTGATCCCTCGCCCACCTCCAGGATTCATAGATACGAAGGTCTCCAGATGGATACTTCTGGAAAGGGTCTGAAGATCTCGGGGATTGTCAAACTGCCACTTGAGTGCTCCCCATATTAAGTGTTATTTCTATAGTCTGAGAAATTCTAGGGGAGTACAAGTTTGGTTCTGATTACATAATTATGCCACAGAAGTATGAAAAAAATCATCACTGAAACCCTCCAGGTGCTTAAACAGTTTGATAGACTGTAGCCATTCTGCCATCAGCGCCCCCAGCTGTGTTGCTTAGCAACATTTTAATTCCAGAAGAATCGAAGGAGATGCAATCCCTGTGGAGAGGGAAACAGAAATAAGAGGGCTGTTGACAGATGATCTGAGTTGTTTCTTCTAATATACTGTGAAGATCACTAGCTCTTTTCATGAATGATAAATGGACTGTACACAGATCAATGGGTTCAGCAATAAACTGGAACCAGGCTCCATGTCTAAGGCGACACAGGCCGAGAGGCCCAGAGATTTCCTCATTTGGATGATTTGGCGCGTGTTTTCTTAAAGGTTCTACGGGAGGACATTGATCTGAGCGGTCAGTCATCCCTTGGCTTTTTGTGGTGTCTGCTAATAAAAATGATTTTAGAAATGGCAACTTTGGCCTTGCTCTCACCACACAGGTACAGCCAGGTGTCAGTAGTCATGCAGGATAAACGGGTCCCTACCACAAATCTAAAAACCCGGATTGTGCCCATGACCGTCCCCCACCCCCTGCACCTACCTCTCCGTCTGGTGGTAATAACCCAAGCAGGCCCACCCAACAGGTAAGATTTGAGTGCAGGATGGGGAGACAGGAGTGAGTGTCTATGTCTGAAAGCTGCACTTGGACAGGTAACCATGTTCCCCCAGAGAGGAAAATTGCTTTCTGTGTCTCCAGGCTGCTTATCGCCAAGCACCCTGCTTCGGTTAGGTCCTTGTTGCGGAAGAACATTTTATATTGCTTATTGTTTTGGTAACTAGTTGCAAAGATTATGCCTGCTAATGTTGTCTAATTGCATTTTTTTCTTGTTTACAGGCTGTTGAAAAGGCAAAACCTAAGAACAATCCTGTGAAGTAAGTTATTTTCTACTTGTTGGCATTTTTAATTTGAATAGACTCCATGCATGTGAAGGAAACTAAGGTCGTAAAAGAAACCTCGGATTTCAAGTCCATCTCTATTTATGACAATCGACAAACAAAAATCAAACAAGGGGAGGGGGGAGCCACTAAAACCCAAAAAGAGCTAGCAGGGACTAGCTTTTATTTTTATTTTATTTTCGCCTGTGGTCTTGATGAGTAAGTGCCCCAAGTTGTGTCCAGTTTACATAAATTAATACGTGCCATCCATGAAGAGCTGCCAAATATTATTATAATCCTATTCAATGCATGGTACTGCAGGCCTTTGGGTTTTGCACGTGCTAAAAAGATTATATATTTAATTGCAAACCTTGGACCTATGACAGAGACTTAAATGGCTAAAAATGTGCCAAGTGATTTCCAGCCACGTGAGGAGCTTTGGCACCTTGGCATCAAGGCCTTGCTACTCTGTTAATGAAAAGCTCAGAAAAATATATTTAACGAAAGGTTTTTCTAGCTAACGGAGAGCTCTTTCCAAGGCATTTTTATGGGACACTCTTAAATTATAAACAAGCCGTGCCGCGTTCTTTTAAATATAGTGCATCTTGGACATCCTGCCTCTTCCACAAGGGAGATTTTCAAATTAAAAAGGATGTTTGCCTTGTGATTTGGGTTTGTGACATCTGATTGTACTGTTATGCGTGCCAGGCCCACCGGCCATATGGCCTAGGGAAGTCCTACTGTCCTCTCTGGGTTGTTATAGGCCTCACAGTACCACACCTCAAGGAACTCCACGTTAACTCAGGGTAGCCCGCTCCCACTGCAGTGGGTGCTGAATGCAAAAATGGGGGAGTGCATTGATTTATAATAGTTTCAGGGAGAATGGGTCAACTAGTAGCAATGACAAGAAGGATGCTTTTCCGAGTCACCAGGGTAGTGTTTAGCACACCATTAAATCCAACCTGGAATTCGTTTTTCCAAAAGGTTTCATGTACTTTTTCAATTTCATTTTTCTTAGGCCACAGAATATTCCTTATCGGCTTTTGTAGCTTCTCGAGGAGCTTCTGTAGTCTGGAGATATATTATGCTATAGTCATCCTATGGTAGTATTTCCAGTAGCTGAGTTTCTGGCTGGTTGTTTGATTGGAGTTGAACTCTTCTCTGCAGCCTGATTTCTGTCTATGCCCCGAAGGCTTCTCTACTGCCAGCCTGTGGCGGGATTAGAAGATGGTGCTAATGAGGCCAAGGCCAGGACTGCCAGTCCCTAGGTGGGCCATTAGCAATCTTCTTTCCCCTAGTCCGATTGCACCCTTCCTCCAGTCCACCTGTGTGCAGATGTGTGCCCCAGGTCACAAGGGATGGGGCAAGGGCTGGAGGAAGGTAAACCCAAGCCCTCACTGGGACAGACATCTCCAAGTTTAAACTGCTCCCCCCCCCAATAGGAATTCAGTGCCATGCTCCATCTTGGTATGCACAAGACAGCCCATTGGTAGTGTGCAGGGCTATGTGAAATCACACTCCTGGAAGTGGAGCCAGTTTTCTCTCTGCTCCTTGTGAGGATTCAATTTTACAGATCATTATGTGTGTGTGTGTGTGTGTGTGTGTGTGTATATAATATATAATATATATAATACATATATTATATATACATATAATGTATTATATGTATATATACATGTATATATGTACGTTATGTACATATATATATGTAATCAGGCTGCAGAGAAGATTTCAACCCCAATCAAACAACCAGCCAGAAACTCAGCTACTGGAAATACTACCATATATACATATGTATGTATGTATGTATGTATATACATACATATAACGTATGTATATATACATATAATGTATTATATATAATATATATATATAATGAGCTCTAGCTAATTCACAGTACAGACTCCATCTAATGTCTAGCACCATAAGGCATATTATAAAGAGAAAACGGGAAAACCAGAAGAGCCAGAAGATTAGTGATAGAATATGGAGCTTTTTACTTGTAAATATATTTGAAAATCACTCACGTTCAACCAATAGATGTTTAGAATTTTCTTCTCATCAAGAAAATTTGTTCTCGGTGTGCATTTGGGTACCCTGCTGCATGTGGGCTCACGATGCCTAACCCACCGCCCAGCCACAACCACTGGGCACTTGAAGAAGACAGATCTCTTCAAGACCTCAGCTCAGGGACAGAAATTCCAGAGTGTGGTTTGTTTACCGTGCCTGACAGCATAACCAAACTGGAGTTTTTAGAAGTTTTATGCATAGTGGTCCTCTTTCTGGTTCTGATATCTGAGTGAGAATTTCAGTTACACACAGTGCACTGAGACCCCAAATAGAGTAAGGGTACAATACATGTTTTTCTGAATGAATGAACAGGTAAATACATTGGATATATCCCAGAAAACAGCCCTTCCGGGCACCTGGCCTGGAGGCTTAAGGAGACAGTTGGCCACACACTAGTGTGTCAGACCGGAAGGGGCCGTCTGTTGTAATGGATCAAGTCATCCATTATCCTCTTATTCTTGACTCATGCCACATGTAAAATGCTCCCACGTTACTCTGGTTCATCCTAGCTGTTTTGCCCCTGACCAGGTACTGGCTTGAGCTTGTGGGACAGAGTTGACATTTGATGGAGCATACGATGGAAAGTGTATACAGTCTTGCTGGAAGAGTAGAGGTCTGGAGGCATTTACAAATAAAGCATGAACACAGATCGGTGCACATGAGCATATGTGTGATTGGATGTCATCCTCTGGTGCAGGGTTTGGCAAATGGTTGAGGAAAAGAAATCAAAAGAATATTCCATGACGTGTGAAAATTACATGAAATTCAAATTTCAGTGTCTATAAAAACAGCTATATTGGCATACAGCAACACTCATTTGTTTCCATATTGTCTGTGCCTCCTTTTCTGCTGTAGTGGCAAAGATTAGTTGTGACAGACTGCAAACCACACAGCCAAAGCTATTTGCTTACAGAGAAGTTTTATTGACCCCTGCCCTCACTGGTCAGGTAGAAAAAGGCACAGGGGCACCCGGGTGGCTCAGTCAGTTGAGCGTCCAACTTTGGCTCAGGTCATGATCTTGCAGTCCATGGGTTCGAGCCCTGGTTTGGACTCTGTGCTGACACCTCAGTGCCAGGAACCTACTTTGGATTCTGTGTCCCCCTCGCTCTCTGCCCCTCCTGTGCTTCGGGTCTTTCTCTGTCTCTTGAAAACAAATAAAAAATGTTTAAAAAAATTTTTTAATAAAATCTAAAAAAAGAAAGAAAAGCACAGATGTAAGCTTTTCCATGACACTGCAGATTAAACTATCAGCCCTTTTTTTTTTTTTTTTTTTTTTTTTTTTTTTTTTTTTTTTTTGTCCTTTAAAACATTGAGCAGGTGTTTACTGAGCCCTTTTCACGTATTCTGGACTTTCTGGGGCTGATATACCACCCAATTCTCACTTAGAGCAAAGAGAACACTCCTAATTTACTATCTTTGAAGTCATTATGTATATGAGATCTACTGACAGAACAGTGATGTGTCAGAAACCAGTGAACACAGAGCTAGAGCATATTACTAGGCTTCCAAGTTGTGTGTAGATGGATATTCTGCAAAAGGCATGTGCATGTTCCTAAATTCCATTACTTCCCAAGATCTAACTAAGGCTAAGCGTACTTTCAATCAGAGTGATGGTAAATGGTTCACAATATCCATTTAGTTTGTCTGTTTTCCTCTCCGAAGGTTTGCCTCCTCTTCCCTGTTTCTCAACCACTTGTTCAATTTACTTTCAACGCCTTCATGGTTGTAAGCTTCTTTCGACACCACAGGGAGACCACAGTACACATTAATTACACTCCATAGAAAGGAGAAATTAAATATATGCTTAGTGAATGTAAGCACATAATATACCTGGATACACTAATGATTCTACCTTGAAACATTAAATATTACCTCTGAGGGTAAGAATCAAAATGGAATGTTCTTAAGATCAGTGATCAGGACAAGAGATGCTGGTATATTTCTCAGTCTGCTGGAGCCATGCCGATATCAAAGCTTGATTAGTATGTTCAAACTGTGGCTCTTTAATGTGTCAGAGAGACTTTCACTTGTATGTTAATGCTCTGCAGCAATTATCTTCAAGCTTTCATTGTGACAACAAGGCCTGAGAGATGTACAGATTTCTTCTACCATATGTGACTTATCACATACATTTTTTTAAAAACACATTTCTGTTATTAAGACATATGTGATAGTACGCTTCTGCAAATGTGAATTGCTTTTGGCTAAAAGCCATGCACTAATAAGTTGAGTTGAATCTAACCGAGGTTGACATCTGTTACCAAAAGCGGGAGGGGGGCGGGGGGGGGAGCGGGTAGAGAGGGAGAGAGAGGGAGAGCTAGCGAGCGCAGACACAGTTGTCGAGCATCACATTCTTGCTTGCTTTTACACTTTAACAACGTTAAACAATGTAGTTGTTGTCTTTCACAAATCAGGATCAGGATCCACTCTGCTTAGGAAATTACAGCTTTATTTACGAGCCAATCCATCTTACAGATACGGTGGTTTCATTATTGAAATTGACAAATAGCCACAAAGATTGTCCTGCCCATGGTGTTTGTGCATTATTCATTTATTCACCCAATGAATATTTATCAAGAATCTACAGCGTTCCAGGAACTGCGATAGATGCTGAGGGAATTAAAAATAAATCTGACACAGGTCTTACCCTCGAGGAGTTTAGAGTCCAGTAGGAGAGATAAAATCAGTTTGTAAAGAACTAAATACATGATAGAGAGAGATGTTTGTTAAGTAGGAAACAGATAGAGTACAAGGGAGGCTCTAAGGACACAACGTGCTTCCAGTTAGTGCTGGTGGAGAAAAGGGGAGCGGGTAGGGACAGTTGCACCAGGACTTTAAAGACTTGGTTTGAGCCACTGGTGCTGAGGTGGCAGGCAGTACAAGGGCAGGTTAGAAACCAAGGCTCTGAAGAAACGGTGGCTTAGGGA